CTTTTACCCTAAAATTCAAACGACAGAGGTTGCTATTTACCAGGACTAACAATTTTTTCCTATAAAGTAGATTAGCGTAGTAAGAAACATTGATTTATTATAATTTAACGCGTTCAAAAAGAAATTATTTTAAATTACCTATATTGCTTCACTTATTTATCGCTCTTTATCTGAAATTTGAATAAATTCTTAACGCACCTGGAATTTGTGAAAAAATTGAGTTTCCACATATTATCTAACACCGTTTTCAGGAATACTCTACTATATTACTAGAGCAAAGTGAAAAATTAACCATGACAAATATATTTACCACAGCAAAGTGCGAATCAGCTTGCTAAAGACCCCCTTCGCATGTTGAATGTGCGCACGAAGTTTTCACGCAGAATCGAAATCTATATACAAAATGTATTTTGTGTCATAATGTATCAAAATACATAATGTATTTTATATCATACTGTATCAAAATACATAATGTAATTTGAGTTACATATTGTATTTTGAGTTAAGCAGCGCACATTTGCTCTCTGCTGTTCGTAAACTTAATTAAGTAACTACGAACACTACCTGCTGTTTTCTAACCTTTTAATTTGCTTGAAAAATAAGTTTTTCTTCTCTTCAGCACAAATATTTGTGACGTACCAGCGGTTTGTGATGCACATTTGCAAACACATTTACGTTGTGTACAACTGCGTCAATTGGTTCGACTTGACGCAATTTCTTGGTCGGACATCGAAGGTTTAAACATACACAGTATCCGGGATACCCTTTACTTCATCAGGTGAAAACAGAAATGTTTACACAACGAATGCAGCATAATGGTGGGTGACACATGGGAATGTTATTTCTCATTAGTATTATCATGATCGAGAAGTAAAAGTAAGCGTTTAAGTTAAAAATTTAGAAAATATTTACATTTTTATGTCCAAAACTAATAATTTCATAAAAACACTAGTCTGTCAAAACCGTGCAGTGATTATAATACGACCATACGATTGATTTTTTTCTATTGGCGGCTGATTAATCACGATAAAAAAATGCATATTGTATAATCGGTAGTGAATAGAAAACTTATTGTAGGTTCTACCTAGCAGGAAATAATCTCAAAAGTCATTAAAAATCAAATATGAAGACATCACTACTTTGCATTCCGTCAAAAATGAATACATAATAGGGACATCACATGCAACATCTCACTGGGGTCATACTCAGCATTACGCATCCCTCGTACGCAGGCGGGATCTTGCATTCCTGGCTTCTTACTTTAAAAATCTCAGGGATAACGTTAACGGAATTTGGCATTTGAGTAGTTAATGAATTTAAATGTAAAATATAGCTTATGTAATTTTAGAATGTTGTGAGTTATAGACATGCAGAAATTAACACCTACACGATTCCTTTATTTGATCTATTTCGTTCGTGTCTATAATTCACCCGAATCCTGTGTGAATCAAAAATTTACAGCAAATACATGTACACCAAATTTTTACACTTTTGTTCAAGTATGAGAATCATAGAGGTGGTCGAGCAACCAATCCAAGTCTAAATATACCTGGAGTTTTAATACTTCTTCTAATCATCGTTGAAACTTTGAATTAATACGAGAGATCTCTTTCACCGTTTGTAGAATTTAGGAAATGGTGATTCCTAAAGTGATTTAGGTCTACTTTAGCGTCCGATCATAAAAAAATATTTGATCGACTTTCAAATTTTAATATCGCACGTAAGAAAATTATTCAATTAATTTTAAATATTAGTTTATTCAAGACACATGGCTGGGCTGGAGAGTTTACTTAGTCCTAATTATGAATTTAATAATCTAAAACTATGATATTCATGATAATCTAGAGGCGTTGCTCCATCTCCTCAAATTTTCCGCTATAAAGCAACGACTAAGAGGCTGGTTTCGAAGACTGGACTAAAGCAACCGTATAAAGAGTCATATAAAACATACAAAACTATAAGCAGTAATCCTTACTTAATCTTTTCTAATATGGGCAATAACTACGGAGACCCTGATGGACTTGATCTGCACTGTGCTATTTGATGGAATCAATTAGTTGAATAAACTCGTGTCATTTTTAGGGAACGTAAAAGATGTAGAAAAAATGCCTTAAGACTTGACAAAATGCCATCTTCTGCTTATTCATTGCAGGATAACAGACATGAATTCAAAATTAAAATAAATAACATCCAGCCTGGAAGGCGGTCGCAAAATGCCTCTAAGGGACATTTGGAACAGTAAATTAAATGTTGCCCATAAATCGAGTAATTTTTGATAATTTAGTGAACAGCACTGTATAATATGTGTGATTTTGCTTTTTGTTATGTCTTTTCTGTAAGATTAAAATAGCTCATTTACAGTTTTCCTGAATTTTTTTGTAATTTAGCACGCTTCAGATCGTGTAAGTTGATCAGAAAATAAAATGATTATAAACTTATTAGTTCACCGACCGTGATTCGTGAGTAATTCAGGTAATACTGTAGAAATTTGTTATTTCTTCCAATTACGATGGTGAGCATAGTTCCGTGTAAATTTAAACTGTAAAAATATCCGACGAGGAAAATTTTGTACTCGATACTCGCGTACAAAAAAAGTCAGTTGCTATATTTATAGTTAATACGTTTAAAAGCTTCAAAAAATGTCCGCATGTAAATGCGCAATCAAGTGAGTATAAGTAAAATCAGCTACACGATTTCTTATAATATTGGTTGACGGTAATAATACTCCAAGGAAATGCATTCATGGCTTAAAAAACCCTCATATTAAGCACTAATATGTAGCGCTGACTAGCAAATCAATGGACGCCCAACACAAAAGTCAGTCGTAAAGCCATGTAAATGCTTCGATGTCGTGAGTGATAACAGAAATAACAAATTATTCGCTCGTGACACATAGCGCTAATATTGACTTGAGAAGACAAAATTTGACATTCAAATATTAAATGATCCATCAACATATACATCAATAAATTATATTGGCTGCTGGTGATTATGAGGAAAATTCCGACTATTCAATGGAATCTCTTATTACTCTGAAATCGACATCTAACGAAAATTCAAGTTCGCAAAAATCAATCCTAATAATTTAAAACAGGCCCACCCATTACCTAGCTTCATCTCCAAAAACGTTCCATTCAACTTGAACTAATGCAGATTTTCTCGATTCACGATTAGTCAATATGAAATTCACTGCACAGTAAATTTCATGACGTAAAAACGAGTTTGAAATTTTTGGCTTTCGTTTCCAGCCTGCACCAGTTTTTGGTAATTGGTATGGTAACCTCGTGTACGAGTATAACATCAAAACATGCATATTTAGGAGCTATGCTACGCTAACATATTAATGAGTGCAGAGTAGGATAAGATGGAAGGATTTCATGAAAGAGAATGCGATAAGTGAGATTTTAACCTTCTTACATAAATCACTTAGCGATTTCCTGATACTTTATCCCAATATCAGTGCACATCCTTATCAAGTTTGGGCCAACAAAAGAGCTAGTGAACAGGGCTCAATATGTGTAACTATTTTAACAATATAACCCATTAATTTTTTTTGTGACACCGTACGAGAAACTAAGGACCTCCAGGACCTCTGGAAATATTGGGTGTATCTGGAAAATTTCCAATATAATTTCTAGTAAAATGAGTTTCACCGTTATTTCATTAATTAATATCTGAAAAGACATCATTATGTAAATTTTGCCTACTTATTCTGTTCACTCGCCAAGGTGATTACTAAAGGAAACGACTTTGATCTGATGTGGAGGTAATTGCTGTAATTTATTTAACCACTCGTTCCCTTTTCACCAAAAAATCGAAATGCGAGCGGCCACGTCTGCTCTTGTGCGATCTCAACCAGAAGCTGCTGTACAATTAGCACTATGTTAGAGAAGTACAAATGCTTTAAAGTTAGAGATTAGCGTTTTAAACAATATGTATTATATTAAAGACGCACCTAAACAGGCGAGCAAATAGCAGTCTGGTTAATTCGTGCACTCATGTAATTACATCAAGACATCAAAGAAATTAGTCTTAAATGATTTCTACCACAAAATAAAGTAAGTCAAAAGTCCCACAAACACTTACATATGCGCTCAAAAAAAATTATAAGTCTTAAGACACAGAATTGGGCAAACAGCAATAATATATATAATAATAATACCTCTACACTGAAAAATATTTGGCTACGGCGCAGATATAATAACATCAAAACGTATGTCACTGATGACATCAAAATTGTTGTCTTCTCGTCTCGTGCACTTTTCTATGAACTTCAAATGCTACATGACTTATCTATAGAAAAATTTATGAACGTATTGGAAGGAAAACAGCATGCACGACAACTCTCATCAGTTCTGCCTTGGTCCTGCTCACCGTGTCTGCGTGTGTTTCTCTCACTGGCTTCATAGGGTGCCAAGCATTGCTTGAAATCGATTGATGGCTGCATCAAATATTGATTACCGTTGTTACCTTAAATTCCGGGAGCCAGAAAATGCTGGTGACCGAGGGTAGGCCTAAATAACTGATAACTTTAGCGGGTTACGATAAGGGAGTCCGCTAGATTTCACTCTCCCGATTCAGCTGCAGGGTGCTGAAGTGCCAATATCTCATGCCATATTCCGATAACTCGATTCGTCAGTCGCGCCTCACGTGGGCGCTGTCAAATGTAGAACGTACTACAGCCAAGCGTTGCCTCCAATAGGTATATAAAAGATTATACATTGTCAATGTAAAGCGTTGAGATTTTTTCGATATATTAATTCCATTTCACACGATCGATACTAAATTACTCAATCGTGTTGCCACGACAATTTCTCATTTTGCACTCATGCTACGTTGCTGGTTAGAAGTTAACCAAGTTAGGAGCTTTCATCACTTAGCAACTCGACTGAATTATTCAGAGTGGACTTCATAGTTAATTGAAGAAGATTATATCACTACGTTTTCCATGTACAATTTTACCATGCAAGGGACGTGAGGCTATTCTAACTAACGCATTAGCCAGAAGCCATCAGGCTGTCAGATATCAAATATTCATTTCTCTTAACACGAAACTATGCATCACGAATTTGACGGCGTTAACGTAAACCAATAAAGATGCTGCCACTAAACTCAATTCACACCACTAAATGCGCAACTTGAGCGCTGTAGCGAGCTCAGCTACAACTCTTAAAAGAGGCTTTTGAGGAAGTTTTGGAGGCTCTCCTAGCCTGCGAGTTTTGTCTGTCCAGTAGGGCTTGCGTCTCAAAAGTCGAGGACGTAATACTCATCAACGAGGAAGAATCAATAGGTTCTGTTGAAATTTCAATTTCAGTTTTCATTTCTCCGTCTATTTCGCACTCGATTTCATCTTCCTCCACAATACGTGACAGCGCCGCGTCGTCTGAGGCGGAGGGCGAAATCGTTGCCTTTGATGCGGTGGCTGCAGCACTTGCTGCTGAATCACCGTGAGGTTTCAGAGGCGGAATTTGGCCTGATGCACATTTACTACCATGTGCATTTGAAGAATTCGAGGCTTCTGGTGTGTTAAAAGCTGTTTCTGACACAATTGTGGTCATGGATACTCCATTTTGATGTGGCTTAATTCTTCGTTCTCTCACAGGAGTGACGTGACAGCTTTCGATATCTCGGGCTAATCTGTGGCCGGATTTGGAACGTGCTAGACGACTTTGAATATATTCATTGAGCTCTCTTTCTTCATTATTCGAGATAAATCTACTTACTGTGGTGAGAATCGCACCAATGAACACGAACACTGTACCTGTTCCCAATATATCGTTCTTTCTCTTTTTGTTCTTGTCCTCGTAACCTGGAATGATTGCGGTAAAAACAAGCATCAGTCCTATGACGATGAAGACTATCCCAACATGGAACATGGTAACTTGGCCGTACATGGTTTTGTTTTCGGACTTTTTGTTGAAGAAGACCTTACCGTCCATAGAAACCTGAGAGTCACGAGTAGATGAAACGGAAGTCCCAGAAGCTCTTCTGATTTTCGCCATCTTGTGTTCTTCCCATCGGTTTCTCTGGCGACGCACCGCCATCGCCGATTGCACTGCCTGCATCTTGACCATCCTGCATCAAACAAACCAGCGATTTAAACAATTATAGAAGTAATATTACACCTAAATTAATAAGATGTCTTGGAACGTGAACAGCAGATTCATCTATTGTCTGAGTTTATTTCTGACTGAACGTGAATGACTCGAGTTTATCATTCTGCTAATACTTTTCGCGTTTCCCTATCGAAAAGAATAGCAGAATACTAACCTCAGAATCCAAAAGCGTCGTGTTTTAGCAGACTCGCGCCTCAAGAGTAATAATTGATAGTTTGCACGATAAAACCGTGCCAAACAAAAACAAGTCAAGCCGTGATAAATTCCAAGAAGCCACTTTTCACAATTATCTTAAGTTGGTTGAGAAAAGACAGATCAAAAGGAAACAAAATCAAGATATCAGAATTCTTCACAAACACGAGAGGGCGAAAAGCTTTCAAATTTTTGATTGCAGACCTGCAAATTAATCGAGTCATATGCAGAAAAATCAATTTTAAATAATCCAAAAGTTCAAACTGATACAGTTGCATCATCACAAAGAAAACGATGCAATGAAATAAATCAAATTGAAATTCGTCTTTAGGTTCAGTCACCATTCCCCCAATTAATGTATAAATGTAAGGCTGCATTTTTGTTACTAAATATTTATAACATTTTAATTGAGTTCACCCTTTGCGTTCAGTTTTAAAAATCAATTCATTTTATCGTCATTAAAAGCTGAGAAAGTTTGTATAATGTATTTCACCTAACACCGAGTCCTATAGATCATAAGCGATCAAAAGCCGCGTCCAGTGTTCAGCCATCACTGTCTTCGCTGAAACGATTCAGGAGTCGGAAATTAAGTGAGCAGCGTCCACCTGTTGCTCCAACAATTGACGAAGAAAACAACGAATCTTTTGAAATTAGACTCGGAGAGAGAGCCACATTTGCTTCAAGTAGCAATAAACCGAGAATCATATGGACTCATAATCGGTGTAGTTTTCCATTTAATTTCAGATTATATAAGTATTCATTTTCAACTCAACGGCGAGAACGATCAGTTTACCTTCATGTGGTTTTCATTCCGAAATCTGCAGCGAAAAGTATAATCAAAATCTTGGACAGCAATAGTTCCTATTCAATCGAGTTCATATAAGTAACATTGATGATGAACTAAGTGAAGAATAGGGCTGGCAGCTCCATCATTATAATGAAAACATACAAAGACAAATAAGGAGGGCATATCGTGCAAAAAATTGTGTCGTGAATTTCCAAGTCAGTACCATGCATTATTACGTCATATATAATTCATAGTAGTAGTCTTATACAGCTATGCGCTTGTTCTTTTTATTTATTCCCCGAGGTTTTAAACTAAGCCGTCAACATCAGCTACAGACATTATCACAGATGACTGCTCTTGCAGCTGTACAGCTTTGCCCCCAACGGTGCTTGGACGCAGCCATCGATTTTAAAGCTGCAGCTTGTGCTGCTGCTGCTGCTGCTGCTGCTGCTGCTGTTGCTGCTGCTGCTGCTGCTGCTCTCCACGGAACTGGGTAAAACGCCCCCTCCTCTCTCTGTGTACCCTCCCCTCCAGCGTGTCTTCTGTCCTCTTCGTCCCAATCTCTTCGAGCAAATTTCCGCCACGGTCACCCAGATTCCACTTAAAAGCCTAAAAAGATTAGCGAGCTGTGCATGTCGCAGTCAATAGGAGGGTGGATCATATTATGGTATGGGGCGCAGGCCCCAACAGTAACAGAACGAAGAACGTTTCTGAAAGAGGAAATAATGTATTACCAGCTTTTAAACAAGCTGCTGCATTTGTTCTTGCTGATCTGATTGTTTAACAGGCTGGAGAGTAAGCCATGATTGAAATTTAGTTAAGTTTATTCCTTCATGCAAGAGAATTGCATCACGTCATATTTAGGGTTTGTTCGGTATCTTGTTTTTATTCATTAAAACATATGAATTTGTAGCGTTATTTGTCTAGCCTAACAAGCGAGTCCAAATCCTCGTTAGTCAATCAGCCACCATCTTATTTCAGTTAACTTTTTTCATTCATGTTACGGAGTGCCCAGCATTCAGATGAATAATCCCAGTGTCCTGTTTCGCACACTCACACATTTAAGTTTTTTATGGTTGTCGTTCATCTTGAATGTTAACAAATCTGGAACTAAATTCTGCATCCAAGTTTTAAAATTTCAATTATTTCTGCGCATTGAATAAGATATAGCAAGAATAAATTATCTAATTACTTTCACCTTTCATTTTTTTGTTCACAAAATGAGAGCGTCACTACCGGACTGGCGGAGTTCGCCTTGCTATGTAATGGCATTCCTGATCTTCGGCCTCACAAAAGAACGGCTTCATTTCAAGGCAGGATAGTTCGGTAAAAAAGTTGGCTAGGCTCGAGGTATTTGAATTTCAAAAAGTGCCGAAAATTTTCAGCTTTTTGACGTGAATTCTGAAGTGAATTGAGAATTGTGCTAATTGGCGGCCGGGTTCTCACCGTGATCCGGTTCTTACCATGATCAGGTTTTTAACGCGATCTGGTTCTTACCATGATCAGGTTCTTAACGCGATCTGGTTCTTACCGCGATCTGATTCTTAGCGTGATCTGGTTCTTAGCGTGAGCTGGTTCGTATCGTGATCTGGTTCTTAGTGTGAGCTGGTTCTTACCGCGATCTGGTTCTTACCGTGAGCCGGTTCTTAGCGTGAGCTGGTTCTTGACGTGAGCTGGTTCGTATAGTGATCTGGTTCTTACCGCGATCTGGTTCTTACCGCGATCTGGTCCTTACCGTGAGCTGATTCTTAGCGTGATCTGGTTCTTAGTGTGATCTGGTTCTTAGCGTGAGCTGGTTCTTAGCGTGAGCTGGTTCGTATCGTGATCTGGTTCTTACCGCGATCCGGTTCTTACCGCGATCTGATTCTTAGCGTGAGCTGGTTCGTATCGTGATCTGGTTCCTAGCGCGATCTGGTTCTTAGCTTGATCTGGTTCCTACCGTGATCTGGTTCTTAGCGTGAACTGATTCGTATCGTGATCTGGTTCATAGCGTGATCTGGTTCATACCGTGATCTGGTTCCTAGCGCGATCTGGTTCTTAGCATGATCTGGTTCCTAGCGCGATCTGGTTCGCAGCGTGATCTGGTTCTTACCGTGATCTGGTTCCTAGCGCGGTCTGGTTCTTACCGTGATCTGGTTCCTAGCGCGACCTGGTTCCTAGCGTGATCTGGTTCTTACCGCGATCTGGTTCATACCATGATCTGGTCCTTAGCGTGATCTGGTTCCTAAAGCGATCTGGTTCTTAGCGCGATCTGGTTCTTAGCGTGATCTGGTTCTTAGCACGATCTGGTTCTTACCATGATCTGGTCCTTAGCGTGATCTGGTTCCTAGCGCGATCTGGATCTTAGCGCGATCTGGTTCTTACCGTGATCTGGTTATGACCGTGATCTGGTTCATAGCGCGATCTGGTTCTTTTCTTGATCTGATTTTTTACATCATTTCCACAAAGAAAAATACATAATTGTTTTCATGTTTTATCATAAATTTGTCGACCATTCTACAATGGATACAGTTTCTATCAGCATTATATATTCTTGTCCGAAAATTTGGACTTTTATTAATCATATAGACTCCGCTTCTCCGTCGCTAAAAATTCACGCAAACGCTCGAACCGAGGGTTTCCTTCTGGCACTCCATCATCTCAGTCTTCACAGCCCAGCCCTTTCTTTCAAGTCCACATCAAGCCAAGTCTCTGGCACTCATAAGATTGCCCATGACCTTGGCGAGTGCATCTTCTGGCACATATCAGACATCTATCGTTCAGTCATTTCTTATGTGCCTTTAGCGCTATTTCGGTACACCTCCTACATCAGACATTCCATCTTCAGGTCCAATCCTCTGGCTCTCCTCCAACTCAAGTCGCTCCATCCCTTCCATACTCATTGCTCTGGCGCTCCTCCAACACTAGTCACCACTTCCCTTCTGCACCTATTCCTTTTACATGCATCCTCCAGATACCAATCCCTCCATCCCGTCTCGTCCAGTTGCTCGACTACTTCGCCTACATAAGTCACTCCATCCCTTCCTGACTGTCCTCTGGCAATACAAAATTAAGCACCCCTCTGTCAATTCCCGACACAAGTCACTCCTCGGTCACTTGTATCACTCCTTTGTCACACTTCTGTCACATGTGTCACTTCTGTCACTCCCCTGTCACTCCAACACCCGTCACGGGATCCAGCAATCAATCGATCGCGGGCCCGCACGTGAGTTTGACATCAATTTGGCGCGACGCTGAGACGTCAAGAGAGCGACGCGGCAAACGTGCCAACCTAATGAGTTCCGTGCAAGAGAAACGCGGCACCAGATAAGAATTACGGGAAGTGCCCAGTGTAATCACCCGTGCACAAGAAAAAACGGTACCAGATAAGAGTTGTAGGGAAATGTCCCGTGTGATGACGGGTAAAAAGCCAGTCATAATCTTGACATGCAAATACAGGCACGGCATATCGGTCGCAATAAAAATTGAAGAAAAATTATGAGTAAAGAGCATTGACTGATAAGTTCGGTACCGTTTCAGTGTCTGAGATTTGAGCTGAAGATGTGCCCTTCCGAGCTAATGGAAATAAAATCGATTAGTAAATATCTGCCTTCTATACAAAAAGCAAAATGTTTCCATAACAAATGAACCACAAAAATTTTGTTTCAAATATATTTCGCAAGGGGAAGACTAAACCAATTATTCTAAATTGTAGGCTAAATGAATCCAAAAAAATATCTAATGAATTAGGACAATCACTTAGCAAGCAAATTCCTTAATGCAATTAATAGTGAACAGTAATCTAAATCGAAACTGAAAAATGAGCAACTTGAACTTTAATCCTTAAACTGTCAAGAAACCACATAGATTCCCACCTGAAAGCTGTGTCAATACTTCTTCGTGCTGAACTTGGTATCCATTGTAAGTTGTAGATGCAGTTTTCGCAGATGCCGTTTCAACTCCCGCAAGTTTTCCGACGAGGATGGTCTACCTCTACTAC